CTTTTTTGTTTTTAATTTTTGTAAAAAAAAATACCTTTTTTAAACCATGCAAGCAAACATTTGGTAATTAAAAAAACTACAAAGTTGTGCTTCAAAAGTTTACAATTTTTTTTAAATTAATTTTATTTATTTTTTTTATTATTTTAACTCCATAAATTTAAAAAATTTAATAAAAATAACTTTTAAATTTAGTTAATAAAAACAATATTGACATTTAATAACGAAAGTAATACATAGGCGACTTAAAATTATAAAAATAATTTCGAACATTGAACTCAAAAATTTAAATTATTTGAAAAAAAAATTACAACAAAAATGTCATTTATTCTAGAAATTAAATTTTGTATGGTTTAAATTAAAAAAAATATTAAGTGAGGTAGACTAAATACACAGTAAAAAAAATCAACTCTAAGCAACACTAATTAGAGTGCACACAGGTCCACACTAAATAGTGTTGTTTTATAACACTACAATTAGAGTTAATTTGTAGTGTAATTTTCCCCAAGTAAGCAAGTATGATTTAACACTATATATAGCACTGAGGATAAAGTAATTTTACACTGTATTAAAAAGTGTTAATTTACCTAAAATTGTGTACTTATACACTTCCTGGGTAAAATCCCACTTTTGTTCAGTGTAAATTAACACTACTTTGGAAAAGTTCTAATTTTAGAAAGGTACTTTTACTCTTTTAGTGCAAACTTCTAGTGTAAATTAACACTATTACTTGAGTAAAACATATTGGTGGTAGTGAATAAAACGAAAAGGTAAATAAAGAGAAACATTTATTTGGAACAAAAATCTATGACAATTATCAAAATCGGTGCCTTTTAAAATATAATTTTATATTTGAGTCGTATGGCTGGCTTAAGCAAAATGGTTCCTTAAAACGTAAAAGTTTTACTGGCTGTCAACTTGTTAGCAATTAATTTTTCTGTTATAAAAAATGGGTGATCCCATTGGTAGAGAGGCATCAGGCGGCTAATATAAAAACCATTACGCTTGAAAATAAAAAGTAAATTAAGTGTGTATGTATTTATATTATTAATGTTACAAGAACCCGACCTACTGCCGTAAATTATTGATATATAATATAGGCTCAAAGAAAAAGGAAGTATAATACTTACCAAAAAATAAGAATGTCCTCTTATGGATTCACCATAATTAAAATCTAACTGCACAAAAATGCCACACTTCCACAACGCGGTATCCCAACCAAACATTTTAAAACGCATTTCAGTTATTACCAGTTTTTGCCACTATTGGTGTAATTTAACTTTAATACAATGTGCACTAGTAGTGTAAAGAAAAAAGAGCTCTTAGTAACATCAAAACAAACAAAAAAATTGGCATGCACTGTAGTGTAGTACATTTTGACACTATTTAACACATTAAGGGGTAATAAACACTCGCATTAAGTTTTTCTACCCTTTTGATTTATTTTAATAATAAATAGTGTGAATGTACCAATGAATAATGTTCATATTCTTTACACTTACAAATCAACTCTAATATTTTTACCCCTACACTAAAAAATTTACACATTTTATTAAAAATTGTAAAATTTGTCGCTTATGATTACAAGGCTAACATAGAAGTTATGTTTTAATTGGAATAAAATACTCAAATTATTAAACTTAAAAATTAGCTTAAGATGAACAAATTTTTTTCTCAAAACGTGCCAAGAAAAATTTAAAACGTGCCACTCATGGCACGCGTGCCATACGTTCGCCACCCCTGACCTAGAGGGTTCAATTTAGTATGAATATTATTAAATAATCACATACAAAAATAAACAAAATGGAGGCAAAATTTAAAAAAAAATCTATACAAACTAAACTAAAATATCCGAATGACAGCAGGTCACCTGTAAATTCCCATAAACTTAAGTTAATTAACATGTTTTTTATATACCTATTGTAAACATATGTTTGTAAACTGATTTAATTGTTTTTAAACTTTTATTAAACAAGAAAAAAATATTTGATAAGGGTATGAAAAATACAAATTAGTATATTTACTAATTAGTCCAATAAACATTTTTTTATTGTTTAATTTAACACCATAGGTGTTTATAAACAAAATTAATTAATATGTTTTGGTCAAATATTTTTATTATATTTTTTTTTTCTATAAAATGACATTTTTGTGGTTTTTCCAAAAACCACATTGTATTTAATTTAAATAAGTAACAGGAATATATTAGCAGTGGCGCCAATGCTAATTTATTAAATAAAAATTCTTAATAACAATAAATCAAACATAAAATTATTAATTTTAAATTTGACAGCCGCTGCAGCGGTAATATTAATTACACTAGTTTACAAAATCGAAAATCACACAATTTTTTTTTTATGGAAGTGTTTTTGAAATATGAATTTTCAATTGTTTTTTTTTCAATTTTCGGACGTGTTTTGACGTTTTTGAGTATAGCTTGAAATCTAATTGATCGATTTGGTCAAACAAGCCCTTGAAGGTATTTGAGCCCTCTAACACTTTATTTTACAGACCCTTGATATCGAAGTATTTTGACGTTAGCTATTTTAATAACTTAAAAAATCCGTTTTTATTTATTTAATTGAAAAATCAACCAAAATCGGCCAAAATACTTATTCATTTAAAAAATGGCCAAAAAAATTATTAATTAATAATAATAAACACAAAAGTTGAAGTAAGATTTTTAATGACCCCCCTCCCTTAAAATGAGATTTAGTGAGATTTTGCTAGACCCCTTTTTATCTCACGTAATTAATGGATGCTCCCTTCACAAAATAAGTATGACGGTCATACTATGATACTATGAGTCAAGTGATTTCTTATACCAAAATTAGGCAAAATAGCCTAAAATAGGATTAGGATCCTTATTCCTAAAAGAACAAAATTCGCTAAAGATTTAGCAACAGTTATTTTTTAGTCTATTTTGGTATGATTGCTAAGAAAAAAGACATTATAAACACTTTGGTGTTTACGTACATATATGTTTCTAATCACGTTTTTTATACTTATGTCAATTTATTTATTAATTACACAAACCTCTTTTCTTGCAATAAAATTAAATAAAAAGAAGATAAGTAGAAATAGAAATAGAAAATGAATCATATACATAAGCTATAGCTTATGTAACAAAATAATAGTGATAGTGTACCTATTTAAATCACGTGTTTTTAATTATTTATTCAATAATTAATTTTTTTAATTAGATTGGTGTTTTCTTAAAATTTAAGTGAGCCGTGAAAAAAGGTCAATACCTGTAAAACAATTGAACATTACTACGCCGGAACACTATAGGGAAGGTTAAGGTCGAAAAATTTTGTTTTAGAAATTTTAATTTTTTAATTGAACATATTAACTATTACAATTATTATCTGAAAATGATGTTGTTTTTTAATCAAGGTTATTATTTTGAAAAACCTCATTTTTATTTGATAAATTTTTGCAATAAGAATACATGTGGCTTGCCATGAACTAAAAAGGTGACTCCGATGATTTTATTTCTTAGCTATGTTGTAAAAAATACAAATGTGATCATGACAATGTTGCTTTTCGTATACATATGGGTCATTCCACCAAATATTTTTTTTTAGTGTGACCCCCTCGAGTTTTTGTTATTTTGTATCATCAAAATAATTACTCTCTGAAAATTTGATCTCTTAATATTAGGTAAGTACTTTCCTAGTAATTATTTTTCGATTTTTGACTTTTTCGTAATTTTTTTTTATGTAAATAATATTTTGTAAAGAGACATTACTGTTTTTTATGACTATTCCACTCATTACTTTATGGACCAATCATATTTCAGAAAACGGGTGTTTTTTTCTGTTCTGCAGCGATAAAACTTTACAGCACAGGAAAACTTGACAGCTGTTGCCACTAAAATTGCAATTTATATTTTATTTGTACCATAAATAATTAAGTTTGTAGTATTTTGTGATTAAATAAATTACCTATTTTTCAGTTTTCAAATTAATACCTACATATTTATTATGTATGCATGTATATATAATAATATATAATAGGTAGTTTTATATATATATTATAATAGGTAGTTTTGTAAGCTATGTGTATGCAGAATTACTGTTACTCATGAAATAGTCTTATAAAATACCATTCGGGCATCTAATTTTTCGTGTGAAAAAAATATATTTTTTAACAAAATGCATTCGTGCAGGTGCAAAAATCCTCGTCTTCGACTCAGATTTTTGTTGCCACCAGCACTCATGGTTCTTGTTGAAATATTACTTACCATGTTTTTTCGATTTTTTTCGAAAAAATTCTCGGTTTTTAGAAAAAAAATATTAAAAACGGAATAATAGCTGCCGCAAGGCTAAACAAATCGCATCTTTCATTTTAATTGAATTTTTGACGGTCTTTCATTACCTATTATAAAGATCGAATATTTTCATTGATAAGATAAGAATTTTTTTGAAAAAAGTTTTAAAAAAATTTCGTCAAAATTCGAAAAATCATTACTACGAAAGTACTGTGTGTTCACACCCCAAAAAAATTAAATTTGGTGGAATAACCCATATAAATTTATGTAAGATTGTAACTTGATATTTGACCTATTTTGAAAAATTCTTTAATATGTTCTAATATGTCAAAATATTTAACTAAACATCGTATCCTTTAGAATTGAAAAATTTAATTGAAAGGACAATTATCTTTTTTAATAAACTTTTCAAAATTTCTTGTTTTACCAGAAAACAGCATTAAGTTAACTAATTATTTCCAAACAAAGTTTTGTCCGCTTAAAACAATTAACGAGCATTTAGTTCCCATTTTTTTTTCAAATTTACTGTGATCTTAAATTCTGTTACATGTTCCATAACTAATCATAGAAAACCCCGAAGGGAATATTGGAGAAAATCGCCAATACATAACTTCAACCAATATGCAACTAAGTATACATTACGGTATAACATAGGCAACCAGGAAATTATGACGTAATTTTACGTGGACCAATCACAATTCGACAACAAAATCTTTTGACAGTTAACCAGCGTAGCGGTCACAAATTGCTAACGTGTCAAAAATATATTGTAATTTAACGAATATTGCTGAATATATTGCTATATAAAACCTTGTACATATAAAAGTAAGTGTGTTTTTGTATTTTTTACAGTTTTTCACTCATGTAACGTGGTTAGTAACTGTTTTTGTGGGTTATTTAGAGGGTTAACCTAAAATAACGATTTTCTTCAATTTTTCAGTCTTTTTACACAATGGAAATTAAAATTTTGTTATTTGCGATATTCTCATCGATAATGGCTGTTAATAGCTTGAAACCAGGAGAGTGTGAAGGTATTTATACATAAAAAAACGTAAATTTTTCTAAGACCTATTTTTTAGTATGTGTTAAGATTTTGGACAGATTTGCTGGTACTCTAACGGATAATATCAAGAAAGACCATAAGAAAATCGAAGGGGAATTCAAAAAATTCTGTAAAAACATTAAAAAAGACAAGGAAAATCGATTTGTAAGCTATTCAATCATAAGTAAGGTTATGTTTAACAAATTTCTTTGTAGTGCTATTATTTGGGCGGTTTAGAGGAAAGCGCGACAGGAATTCTCGGCGAAATGTCGAAACCTTTATCGTGGTCGATGCCCTCAGATAAAATTTGCGAGAAATTGAAGAAAAAAGATCAACAAATATGCGATCTACGTTATGATGTTGAAATCGACTTGAAAACTGTAGACCTTAAAAAATTAAAGGTTAGGGATTTGAAAAAAATTATCAACGACTGGGGTGAAGACTGTACAGGGTGTATCGAAAAAAGTGAATACATTAAGAGGATAGAAGAGTTAAAACCCATTCATACCGAACTATAAAATTAAAGTGAATCTAGATGAATAATTGTGTAATGTGGTCATTAATTTAATATCATCCAGTGTTCTTTATTTTATACAAACCAAATACATTTTTTTGTGATTTTTGTTTGAAGCATTTAATTTGGGTTTTGATTAAGTACTGATTGATTTTACATGATATAAAGATAATTTATAATGTATTTATATGATATTTATAAAAAAAAACAATAAAAAAGATACCTAGTTGTTATTTGGTTTTTCTTATACAACTTTTAGGGTTAATAACCATTAAATATAACTTAATACTTTACCTAATAACTTCCAGGGTAAACACTGTCCATTTATCACATTTTCTGGGTATATTTCACTTAAAAATCACTATTTTAAAACAAAACAAAGTTTTTCACGGAACACGATCAAAAAATGACAACCAAAACAAATCGCGATCGCGGTTTTGACCGACATGCGCAGTAGCTTTATTATCTGTGTTAGTGGCAACTTGATTCTGTTCAAAATTACGTTTTTACGTGTTTAAATATGACTTCTACAGTGAAATTAACAACTTTTAAGGTAATAAAACGCATTTATCAAATAAAATAACTATTTTTTTATCTTGCTGTTTTAACATGACTTTTCATGTGTCTATTTAAATGACTCCTCTGAGAGTATCTTTTAGAACAATTCTCGCAACCAAATGGTTTTTCACCGCTGTGTATCACCATATGGGCCTTTAGATCACCATTTCTGACAAAGCCTTTCTCGCAAATAGTGCATTGATACGACTTTATCCCACTATGTTGTTTTAAGTGGACTTTTAGGTGAGAAGTCGTGAAAAATTTTTGGTGACATATTTCGCATTCATGTGGACGTTCGTTTGTGTGGAATCTGGAAAAACAAGATGTTAAATTTGCCGCCAAATTTTAATGTTTATTTTTGACAGTTTTTAAGATTTTAAAATAATTAATGATGAATTAATTATATTGTAGGTATTTTATTAGTTTTCGTGTAAATAATGGAAAAAATACATATTTAAAAGAGTTTTAAAAACAATTAAGCCTGATTTATAGATTTCCTTCCTCCCGTAATCAGCAATACGAAAACCGTATACGGTTTTCGTATTGTTCATCTATAAACAGCAATACATATAGTGCTGTTTATAGATTCCCATACGGGAATTTATAAATATATTTTCGTATTGTTCATCTTTTAAGGGAGGAAGGAAGGAAGGCTTTAAAGTATTTTTTGGCCAAATTTTTTAAATTTCCCAGTTGGTAACACGTCAAAAACAATCGAGTTGGTTTAAATTTGACAGTGGGCTTATTTTGAGTGTTTTATGGTGATTTTTAAGTGTTTTTTTAACAGTTTTGGGTGTAAAAAATTATAATTTACATGCATAAGGAATATTTATCCAACTAAAATAACAATAGGTAGGTACTTAAAAATCAATTAAATATATTTACCTCATATGAGTGTTTAGATTCCCCATATGTGCAAAACCTTTTTCACATATATTACATTTAAAAGGTGTTTCTCCTGTGTGTATTCTCATATGATAATTTAAAGTTGTAGCCTGACTAAATGATTTTCCGCATATAGCACACATATGAGGTTTGTCCCCATTGTGGGTCCTCATGTGTACTTTTAACGTCGAATTTTGTGAAAAATGTTTATTGCAAATTTCGCACTTATATGGTTTTGCACCTGTGTGACATCGGATGTGTTTTTGAAGATGTTCTTGCCTTAAAAAAGTTTTTTCACAGTATTTGCAAGAATGCGGTCTGTGGTCTTTATGAATGTGCATGTGATATGTTAAATTTGTTTTGTTTACTAAAAATTTTCCGCATGTTTCGCACTGATATTTATTTTGTTTACGATGTTGGATTTTTGGTTTATTTTCAATAATTTCTGTGTCATTAATTTCACTATTTTCAAATGAGATATCGACCAAGTCTTCGTTTTTAACATCATTGTATTTTTGCTTTATTTTTTTGTCGTTATTTAAAATATCAGCCTTATAGTTATAGTAATTAACCAGTAATCCAATACATTTATTGCATATTTTATCAGGCAAATCAGAATCCTTATCAATCTACAAAACTAAAAACATAAAAACAACAATTTGGTATTTTTATGGTGAAGGTTACCTTTAAATTTGTACAAAATTCTACAATAAAATAATAATTTACGCCTAGAATTTCGTTTTTACTTTGTAAATTATCCTCTGGCTTTTCGTTTAAGCATAATCGGCAAATATTTGTGTTCATTATTAATTATTTTGACGTTTACGGGAAAAGTTTGGTTATGTTTTCTGACAGGTTGTATACGAGGGGAGCTTGAAATAGTGCGAGTGGTGGAATCTCCTCTTTCGCACAGAATATTTTATTTAACTACCTCAAGGGATAAACATGACAGTGTAAAAACGAATTATAGGTATGGGCCATTATGGCGCAGTTTGTCAGAGAGTTTTAACCTCACTTAAAAAAAATATATTTTCTCGATTTTTATGTAAGAATGTCATATTCTCGCACGCAAAATCGTTGAAGAATGAAGCTCATTCTTAAACGATTTTTGGTAACATTTAGTTTTTAAGTATTGGTACCCCCAAAATGTCAAACTGTTTAATAACCTCAAATTCATTACTTTTAGGATTATTTATAATAGCTTTGTTTGTTATCCTGCACTAGTGCAACATGAACTACACTTTTATTGAAAATGAAGCTTTTATTATTGTTTTGTAATATTAAGTTTGCTCCAACAATGCATTTTAATGTAAAATTTTAAGTTTAATGTAAAAAAGTGCAGTTCAGGTTGTACTTGTACAGGATAACAAATATTGTCATTTTGTGTTGCCAACTGACATTTTGCGAGAAAAATCCCCCAACTAACAACGACCACAAAACAATTAAAAAAACCTAAATAAAAGTTAAAATCGAGAAAATAGTATAAATCACACGTTGCAGAAGGCTATTCTCGCACTCATTCGTTCGTCCACTCGCTCCTTCGTCGCTCGAGGCCAAATTTCGAATTCGTGCGAGAATATGTGGCCTTCTGCAACTTGTACTTTAATATACTATTTTCCAATTTTGATTTAACTTCATCTGCTTTATTTTAACGCAATTAATAAAATTGCCATAACGACGACTGATTAAATTTAAATTTTGTTCGTTTGCACCAATTGCTACTATGGTTGCTACTTTGCATTAATTGATCGTAAATTGATTAATTTTCTTTAACTAATTTAAAAGTACCAATTGTCGTGATCCGCTTTGAATTTTGATGAGATAAAACTTAAAAATTTCTACGTCCTTACTGTACGGGAATCTATAAATGGCACTACGATTTAAATAAACATTTTTGACGTAATTGTCACCATTAACATTGCCCGTTATTAATTTTAATTAAACTTAACAATTATTGATACTTTAAAATATTAAAATAACTTCAAAATATGATTTTGTTAAGTAAATATTTTATTACGTAAAAATTGTTTATTGGGTTTCGTATTGTTCATCTTCTACGGGAGGAAGGAAGGAAGGCAATCTATAATTCAGGCTTTAATAGTATATTATGTATCAAGTTTTATAAATGCCATATTAGTTACGAGTTTAATTAAGCACGAGCGAAGCTTGCGAGCGAGTGTTTAATAAAAACGATTGTCTAGAGAAGTTTATAAACGAGTTGCATTGTAAACTCTTGTAGAGTTTAGGGAATGTTGAGGGTAGTTAGGTAGATGTGAATGATAGGCTGGTTGTGGTTGAAAAAGAGAAAGTTTTATTCAATTAATTCCTATTTATACATAATTCTAATGTGACGTAGCAACTAGATAATTTAAACAATGTGCAAATATGCAGTTTTAACGGCGATGACCGATTAATTGGTGCTGATTTTGTAGGCTCAGCACCTTTGGGTCGGTCACCGCTTCGAAATATTAAATTATTTAAATATAAAAATTAAAATAATAAAAAATTAAAAAATATTAAATATAAAATTTTGGAAAGTATAAGATATTAAATTTGTTTAATTGACGATTAAACAGTCTGCCCCCTCTCGATTGCTGGTTTGTCATCAGTTCCCTCATTTAGGTCTCCTGGATGCTGGATTATAGTGGCATTAGTTCCATCAGTTGACCCTCCTGAGGTGATGATGTGGTGGTTGTTGAAGCACTATGGTCAGCAGACTTCCTTCGGCATCTTTGACAGAACCGGTACCCTGCGGTCAAAGTTATCATAATGATGATCAGGGTTGTTGACGTGAGGATACTGATTGATATGGAATGATGATGAATCTTTCTCCATTGGTCCTCGTCGAGCTTTTCCTGAATGTTGTTTTCCATGGTCTGAAGATGTTCCAAGTTCTGGGAATCCCTAATCACGGATTCAATGGGCTCCATGAGATAGGAGTTGTTGGTTGTCAGTTTGAAATTTGTGAAGTTGTATGATATGGTTTTCGTGAAGGATTCTATCACTGGGATTGAATCAATCCTTCTTGGCGTCAGGATGTTGGATTTTGTTTGTATGATGCAGTCCTGGGCAATTTGGATTATATTCGTCTTGTTCAGCGTAACTTCTTCTCTTACGCCATTGCAAGTTATCGCAATTCTGGTGGGTTTGCTTGTAACTGCCATCCATGCATTAGTTGTAGAGAGTTCTTTCCATATTGTTCCAATAAGACTTCGCTGGACCAGTTTGCATTTGGTTGTCTCGAATCGTTGGTATACTTCATCAATTACACAATTAGATGCCGTTTCTATATTTTTAACTGATGTTGGTGAACAGACATATTCGTTTGCTGAGGTCAATATGCAAGACTTGAACTCGTTTTCGTTCAATCCATAGTATAATTGACGGTTGTAGTCGACGTTGAGAAATGGAACGGTGACGTCTGGTTCCCAATATGATGTGTTAGATATTTTCACAGGAATTGGGGTCACTTTCATCAAGGTGAAGTTTGTGGTTCCCACTAGTAAAAAATGACTAAATACTTGGAAAGACTCGTTTGTCGTCCTCATCGTGGTCTTTAATACAGGTTCCGTCAATATATTCAGTGTTGGGGGTAATTTTCTTCGAACATCGTTCAGGATCCTATTTACACGTATTGGTGAAATCAATTCGTGTAAGTTGCCTCTCCGGAAACGTACAGCAAGCAGCTTGGAGTAGTGGTCCAGGACTTCTGTTATAAACCCGTTGGCTACTTCATATGATGTCAGGATGTGAATGTTCAGCTTGTTTGTGTCAATGGTTTTAAACCAGCCTTTCATGTCGTTCATTGCTGATAAGGCTTGATTTAATTTTCTTCTGAACAATTCCAATTTGTTTTGTATTCTTGCTTCTGTTTCGTTAAATGAGGTTAAGGCTGACAGCATAAATTTTGTTTGGTGATGTTCAGCTTTAAGTAGTTCATCTTGGTTCTTTTGAATGCTGTCGATGTCTTCGTATACTTCATCATTCACGCCAAATACTGAAGTAAGCAGTTTTCCCAAAATGCCTCTTTTTCGTCTTTTATGTGTTTCATCTATTACTTGGGTTGTCCACTTTAGTTCTTCGAATACCTCGTGTAAATGATGAGATAGTGTAGAACATTGAGTGTCATATGTCATGTCCGTTGTTTTCTCGCATAGATTTTCGAAAGTTTTATAAACATTTTCGGAGGTTTCAACATTTTCTTTCATTTTGTGTCGGTTGTAGTCTATCTGTACTCTAAAAATGCCCTTTTCAATTCGCGAGTGGCCAAGATGTTCTATGTAAAGACCAGGTTTCATATTTCTCACAGTAAAATTTGCGTATACAGAAGGGCACAACATCATACAAAGCATCAGGGTTACTATTGTTGTAACTTTGGAAATGCTGGATTTTCGTTGTGTCGACTGTCTCACTTCGGCTTCTGGATCTTTGGTGTTTGGTAATGGGATTAATTGATGAATACTTCTTTTCATCGGCTGGCTATCTGATTTCTTAACTGTTGCCACTCTAACATCGCCAGATTTGTCAGGAAAGATTTCGGTCACTTTTGCCAGCGGCCATCTGCTGGGATTCACCTGGTTGTCCTTGATGATGACAACATCTCCAATGCTGATATTATTCTCTTTGTTCTGCCATTTGTATCGTTGTTGTAAATTGTTTAAATAGTCGCTTGACCATGCGTTCCAGAAATCCCTTTTCATTTTCTGGATTGATTTCCATCGCGTCGTTAAGCTTGTGGAAAAATCATTTATTGCTGGATGATTGGGGGATATTATCTCACGTCCAATTAGGAAATGGCCTGGGGTGAGAATTTCCATGTTACTAATGTCGTTATTTAGTGAACACAGTGGTCTTGTATTGAGGCATGCTTCTATTTGACAAAGAAGCGTGCTCAGTTCCTCGAATGTGAGTGTTGAATCTCCAATAATACGTTTTAGGTGAAACTTCATTGACTTCACCCCTGCTTCCCATAGTCCACCAAAATGTGGTGATGCTGGTGGGATGAAGTGCCACTCGGTCCCACGTGTAATCATTGCATTTTGGAAATCGTCTTCTTGCAGCATGTTCTTACTGAAGATATTACTGGTACCAACAAAGTTGGTTCCATTGTCGCTGTACATGTGAGCAATTTTTCCACGTCTTGAGGAGAATCTTCGAAATGCGGCCAGGAAAGCTTCAGTTGTCATATCACTGACCAGTTCCAGATGTATTGCCTTTGTAGCTAAGCATATAAATACAGCGATGTATCCTTTGTAGGATTTGTATCCGCGACCTTTGCTGGCTCGAACAGAGATTGGACCAGCATAATCTACTCCAGTATGTGAGAACGGTGGTGAGGGTGTGATTCTTGGACCCGGCAGATCGCCCATCAGTTGTTTTGCTGTTTGTGCTTTATGTCGAATGCAGATTGGACATTTGTGGATCATAAAACGAATTTTGTTCTTTCCATTTATGATCCAGTACTTTTGACGTATATATGATAATACCAATGTGTTTCCTCCGTGTAGGGTTTCTTCGTGTGCATCTCTGATAATTAGTGTTGTTAGATGACTGTCGTACGGTAATATGATGGGATGTTTTTGCTCGAATGGAAGTAGACAATTTCTTAGTCGTCCTCCAACTCTAATGATACCATTTCCGTCCAAAAATGGACTTAAGTTGGCGATACGGCTGCTTTTGTTAACGCTTGTTTTGTTTTTAAGCGCTCGTAGATCATCTGTCATTGCTTTCTCTTGTACCATTTTAATAGTTTGATTTATTGTTTTTTCCATTTCTTTGGTAGTAAGTGTTCCTTTTCTTTTTTCTTTTGTTTTCTGGGAGTTCTGGATGAATCGGTGA